CTGCCTTGGTGTTTCATATTGAACGGGGCAGGGTGTGTGTGTGTAGAAATCAACGTATTATTTTGTACTAAGTGTGGAAAATACAGAAAGCACTGGGAATAGGGAGGAGAACCCCATCTGCTCTCAAAGTCCTAAGCTACAATGTCACATTTTCTCTTGCTCGCTCTTTCCAGTCCCACAAGCCCGACGCGGTGCTCTACAAAGCTTCAGAAGCAAAGGTGGAGAGGAATGCCACACTTGGGTAAAACACCTTGTAGTTGCTCACTTTGGCAGCGCCCATCAGCCTTCCGGATGCCTTGGATCCTGCCCCAGGGCACCACCCACTGGAGAGAAAACTGACACACCTAACCCCAAAATCTGGATTCCAGGAAAAGACTGAAATGAGATACTGGAGCACCTAATTCTTGATGTTCCTAGGTCCTTCCATAGAGCTAGTCTTGTTTTAGTTTCCCACATACAAAATGAGGATTAGAACATTCATGACTCACAGGGATGTCAAACTAACACGCATTAATAATTAATTATTAACTTTACCCATTAATCATGATAACTATTAAGAGCATTTCTGTGTGCCTGGAATTCACGATACAAAGCACTAAGGACTGTCAACATTTTAGAAACCAAACAGGAAACAATTTCAGACTTTTTTCTAGGGCAGCACACTAACAAAAGAAATAATTAGCAAGGAGGAAGAAGATGAGGAAAGGAATTAATGTGGTTTTGTGTATTACAGTCACCTGATTTTCATACAATGTCATCTTGGGAGAAGCCAGTGGTTAGTGGAGATTGCATGGTTTGTGAAGCAGATAAGTTAATTTTTTTGTGAGTCACATGTTGAAATCATACCACCAGGCAGATGATGTCTGAACAGGTTGTGTTCAAAAAACACAAAGTTTTTTGACAGAGTATATTAACACAGATTCAACACTGAGCTGACTCAGCTACATGGCTCCTGGATGAGTGGTGGTTTACTTTAGGCAGCTCAAGCCATGGCTGTAATAGCTAATCCAAAAAAAAGTAGCCTTAGAATATGCACCTTATGGGATCTCTAAAAGCAAGTTTTCTTAACTACTTCCTTTCTATCAACAAGCATCAAATATCTCTCAGTGTACATGCTCTTAAAATTAATACACCAAATTTGAACAAGATTTTTTTGGGTGATGCTCTGGTCTCCTGTATACTACTTTAGCCAGTTTGATGTGTTAGCTTAAATCGATGAAGAAGATACGGGCATATGTTCCCTTTTGCGGCATACGATACAGAATGGTGCTCTCCAGGGGGACAGATGACAAGGAGCATCTGGGAGACTAGAATGTCTTGGATCACCACAATCATATTAGACAGGCTTGACAGGCTTAACACTGAAGGCTGCAAAGTGTGATCCAAGAATGAAAGATCAGAGTAGACCTTCAGAGCAGTGATTTGCTCAAATGTGGTGGAACCTATTTATCCATTTATCCTTTGAAGGGGGCTCAGGGATAACATCCCCCTCAGAACAGTTCTAAAATAGTCTACTGTAACATCAAGTACCCTCCACTTCCGATTCCTAAAGAGGCTTTCCTTAAATTCTGGAGTGTAACCCTCACTCTCGAACTGTTGTATACAGCTGTTCTAAAGAGACAGGCAGATCAACCCACTATTTTAATTTTCCTTTAAAAAAGTGGAATACACAGCTATTGAATATGCAATGAGTACAAAAGCCGTATTATTCTGCATCAGCTTGTGCTTGCTTGCTTGCTTGTGTGTGTATGTGAGAGACAAAATGACAGCATCCCTCACACTGGGTTGAGGAGACTGGCTTTATTCTTACATGGAAGACAAAGGGTTTGTTTTAGAAACCGTACTCTTCAAAGCCCAAATTTTCTACAGAAATTTCTGTAGAAAAGTATTCCTTTTAGACTTTCTAGTCGGGAAATAGCACAATATGGATTACTTGCAACCAAGTACTGGAAGTACTCCTCTTTCGAGTCGGCCTCCCTCAATGACCCCTGTTACACTTGCAGGCAATCCAACCTACTAATGGGGTCTGAGAGCAGCTGCTCAGTTGTTGCCCTCTCCAGAGTTTGTTTCTCAGCCCATCTCTTTCAGGGATCAGACTTCGTCACACTTCCCAAATCCCAAAGCTCAACTCAGCACTTAACTTCTAGATAGATTTCTTGAGCAGACCATCATAAGCATAACGCGGGATCAAAGAGTGCCCAGTCAAGTCCAAATAATCTAGCATTAAGAGCTGAACCACACAGATCTTGTTTGGTTATGATTGTCTCCATGTATTTCTTTAATGATTACTTCATGCAAGCATCAAGCACAGACTTAAGCACTAATCATTACTAAAGTTACATGCTGAGCTCATGCATAAGCCCCATAACTTCAAAAGCTATACATGAACATTTCTCACCTATTGTCTAATACCCTTTCATGGCTGACACATGCCAGACCAGGTACCATTTTGTGATTAGTCTAGGCTCAGGAACCTTATTTAGTCATGTCCTTATACGATCTATCTGCTGCAAGCAATTAATCACATGCAACCTGCGCCCTTCCTAGATACTGCGCATCATCATCATCATTATCTTGTCTATCAGCCATATTGCCACTAGACAGCTGTTGACAAAGTTAGGCTTTGTGCTTTTCAAGTCTGTACAGCTGACATTTGTTTGAGTTGGTGTTCTCTGTATTGTTTACACTTCTAGCTTGCTGACCCAGGTCTTATTATCATGGACACTTCATTATTTAATCTGCACTGCAAAATCACTGAGCTCTACTGTAGAAGAATAATTTGTTCCTCACCACTCAAACTAGAAGAATTTTCCAGTTCTTAAAGAATTTTTAACTTTCAGCCAAAATAAAATTCTTGGATTTGAATTGTTCATCTCAAAGTAATAGGCAGATCAAGAATGGAGATCTTACCAAGAGGACCGTTCAATGACAGTTTTAATCTTCATTCAAGACAGAAAATGCAGAAAACAGACATGAAAGTAAAGACTTGAAGCAGACAGATCTGAGGCTGCCACTTCAAAATAAATTTAAACTTATTAGTACAGTCTCAACTTCC